ATCTATACTCAACTGAAGACTGTGTAAGCTTGTGTTTTCTAGTGACAATTATATGTTGTTACTAACCGTAACGGTTATAAATGAGGTTGAAGAACGTTGAGTGGCCGGCACTTTTTAATTTTTTTTATTTAATACAGACGAAGAAAAATTACATTTAATCTAATTCTATCTAAAATCGTGCACATCATATATATTCTCTTCCAATTGAATCGTGCACAATGCTACACTTTGTGCATTTCTGTGTACGTTTGTGTTAAGATGCGTTAAGCAATTGGAAAAATCCATAACTTCCATTATAGGCCTTATATAAGAATCTAGATGTGCTTTCAGGGTGTATTTTTCATGCTCACGCTCTTTAGGTCTTTTATGCCGTTATTTGACGCTCATTTTTATCACGTAAAAGGTCACGTGATAAAAATTGAATATTAATTTTGATAATTTATTTTGACGCTAAAAATAAACGCCTAGCATCAACATAAAAAGGCATCTTTAAGCGCTTGTAAACATGGCTCGTATCGTTTTGCTGGTTATAAGTATTCAGAATGTCTGTATTCAGCAGAGAAGACAGCTTTGCAACTGTTGTAAAATTTTTTAATATTGGTTTGTACATTTAGGTCTAATGAGCAATTAAGGACAATTATATATTATATTTTATAATAGTTACAAAGCTGCTTTCTCTATTGAATGCAGTTATTCTAAGTACTTGTAACTACTAAACAAAAGATATGAGCCATATTTACAAACGCTTAAAAATGCCTTTTCAGGCTGCCGCTAGGCGCTCATTTTTAGTGGTAAAATAGATGATCAAAAATGAATATTCAATTTTTGTGACCAATATAAAAACACTTATGACATCATAATGTAGTTACTCCTAAAATAGTTACTCCTTTTTCCATCGAATAATGGCTGAATTGATCAAGTTTTATGTACATACTCAATCGATAGCTTCCACTTGGATTGCAATAAAAAATACTTTTATTTTTTTTCTCTACATGCCCTACAAGTGTAGATATTGCGAAGTCCCGACGTGAAACTTTCAAAATACGTTGTTATTATTATCCTAATTATTATGTTTATGTTCATTGTTCAGTCATAATATACTGTTGAAAATTTTGACACAAGGATACGCTGCCGTAGGGTACTGTAGGCGCAAGAGGTGTTAGCAGTGCATAATCAGTAAGCGCTGCGATAGCGCGAGAGTTAATTTGAAATTAAAGCACTACTAAAACTGACAGCGATTTTATAACGATGCAAATAAGGGTTTTTTAATTCATTTTATTTTAATCTAATATTGCAGAAGTTAAGGGTGGATCACGTAAAGCTTATTATATTTTGCAACACAGAGTCATATATTGCCATATATTTGTTTTGAGTAACTAGAATTACTTAAAGATTTCTAGTATACATATAAAGAGATATGGCCAGTCATGATATCTGGAGACATGACGGTGGTGTTTCGGCGCTAAGACAAGCGCAGTGTCATAGCACGAGACACTAATATGCTCCTTTACACGATACATATAATATAAGATATGACAAAATGTATATATTTGAGACACGATCGTATCTTCCCCAGTAAAATGAATTGAAATGGATTCAGATTTTCAGAAATACACATTTGCGAACGTTAAAATGAATTCTTTTCAATCCGAATGCATTTTTATACATTTATTTAGATACATTTCTATACCTTTCAATCTAAAAATAAAATCAGCTTTTCTGTGCCTCGTGAATATTTTTCAATTCAAAATTCTGAATAGGAAATGCAATCTTTTAATTCATTGAATCCAATTAAATTCACTTCAATAAAAAAAAGTTTTTGTTATTCAAAATACTCATTCGGATACATACAATTTCAATCCATTTTAATATATTCTCGTTTACTGGGTCTGATAGTTAGTATACATGTCTCTAGTTTACATATATATTTCCACATAAATTAGATTTTTTTGTATAACAGAATATATTCTTTCAACACGTTATACTTTTGCGCATATTTTTAGCCGGTTGGAACAGCAGCTGTAAATTTCGGTCACCAAAGTGGAGAATATAACATGGAGTTAATTATCGGTGATGCTGTGATCAGCAATCCGTTCCAGTTCAATATTGGCACAGTAACTCTTAAATTTCCCGAGCCAACTTCAATTGAAGGGGCTGATAAGAACATCTCTTATAAGCAAAAACCGAATGTGTATACAACCAAACCGGAAATAAAGGTATTTTTTCTCTTGATTTATACATATATGTATCTGATATATGCCAATGCTCGTTAGTGACAAAATCATTTATAATTTTGTCACTTCTAAAACATTGGCAAAGAATTACGTCAAAGTTATAACATTCGCAAAAGTAGCATTTGCGCAATAGTTTTTATTTCCTTTGACGAACATTGACATTTGTTTGAGAAATTGAAGTTGTTATCAAAGTGTTTTTCTGAACTCTTGTTACTTTCAAATTTCAGCATATGTTCCGCGAGCCTGAACGTAGACCTCCGGCATTTGTGTCAAATTTATTCACGGGATTATGTTTGGCACCAGTTTTACTGTTGTTGATTTTATGGGCTAGACTCGGTGTCAATATCTCGAACTTCCCTTTGTCTCTCAGCGCGATTACATTCCATCTTGGATTAGGAGGTAAATATCATTTCATTGATAGAGTGTATTTAACGTATAATTAGATTTCCATGCATATTTTTTTAGGTAGGAAAATACGATTAAATAAGATCTTATTTCATCAAAACAGCAATCTAATACACATATGCAAGCGTGCGCGCGCGCGTCTCATTTACTTCTTCAATATACTTCTCTCTGATATCTATCTCTCTGATACTTAATAATATAAACTCTCCGCACTCATTACAAACTCCGAAACCTGTTAAAAAAATTTCCCTTTTATAGCTCCGAATGCTCTTGTCCTCCTATTCACTTTTATCTTCCTTGGTTTCTGTATTTATCTCTTTCTCTCTCTTCATCTTCTTGGTCCTTTTCTCTAATCGTCTGAAAGAAAGTGTTAAAAAAATATCGTTCTCAAGATACATCTGAATAGACCTTGAAAAATCATTGTTTGAGCTCTTAGAAAGCAGGAAACAACAGGAAATAATTTCCTCTTCACATCAGGGAAGTGGAAACATTGCTAGAATTGTTTAAATATAGTAAAAAATAATGACAATACTGATAATATTATTGATTGTGTATGATTAATATTGATGGATTGATGCAGAAAACTGATAATAATCTGGATCTTTATTCGAGCATTGAATAAGTATACAGGGTTGGCCATATTCGACGGAAAGATGTTTTTTTTTTCAATCATGGGAAAAAAACATTTTTTTTTCTACTCGATCTAACATCTCTGTCATTGCCAGATCTTTCCGTCGAATATGGCCAACCCTGTAAATACTAATTAAATTAAATAAGAATAATACTAACAGTATGTATCTATATTTTCAGTATTTTTACGACTTTACATCAGTATTATCAGTATTATTGACAATATATTCACTTTAGTTTTACATACAATATTTATTGCACTGTGAATTCTAATAAAACGATTCTGATGTTGGAGAATAAAAATCTGGATCACCGTTAGTATTCTACATTAATTCATCAATATTAACACACACAATCAATAATATTATCAGTATTAATATTGACAATATTATTGACCGTGTATTCACCTTAACCCTTAGACTGCCGGCATTTTTTCATTAAAATAGTGATTATTTTTTCTCAAAAATTTTGCTATATAAGTAACATACATATGATGCAAAATTTCGAGAGATTTGTGCAGAGTCACAAAAGTGGCTTTCCCGGCAGGGAACATACAATCAAATGTAAAAAATGTTTATTTTCTCAAAAATATTATATATATATTTGGGGGTTTTTGATATCGCTGATTCCAATTCTGAGCATAAATTTATAAAATTTCGAACCTTAAACGCAATATTGACAACATAAATGAATATAACGTATAGACTCCTACAGAATTTTCCTTTAGCATTACCCAGAGCTAATGACGTGGACGTAGAAGATTTGTAACTCCTTTTTGATTTTCTTTTTTTATTTGATTTTTGAATTTTTAGTTTTTTTTTTTACTTTTTTATATTTGTTTATTTTTTGTATATTTTTCAATATATATTTTTTATACATTTTGTAATTTTTATTTTTTTTTAATACATGCACGCATATATGTTTAATACACTTAATATTTAAAATACTAAAAAACACTAAAAATAGTAGTATTTTAACCCAAACTCAAGAGCTACAAAAGATTTTCGACAGTCGGGGTTAAAACCTTGGATTCAATCCGAAGGAATAGCGATAGAATACTCTGATTTCAACTTATCAAAAACTGTGCATTCCGATGTATATTTGATTTCTAATAGGTTGGAATTGTTTTCTTGCCATCACTACTCCCTCGTTTTTATATGTGGGACATTATCCTTATAATTTGCTTTATTGATTATCTTTGCTTCCAATTTCTTGTTGCTTCAATCTATTCTCACGAATCTAACTTCTCCAAATGCCTCCTATCCTCTAATAATCTTCGCATAAATTACGCACTCATCCATTCTCGCGTCACTTAACAAATAGAGCCCTTTTATTAGCTAATAAATTTAATTTAAAAATAGTAACGATATAATAAAAAAATATGCCCTATATATTGCTTGGCAGATGATGTCATATAGTCTATCTGTTTTCATTGGGCGCACAGTATGCCGTGATGTTTTTCTCGAATGTGATTATGTTCTTCACATTTGTAATCGATTCACTACAGAAATTATTTATACCTACCACATTACACCACAATGCAGTATGAATAACTATAATTGTTTTATTTTCAGGCATCTTCATACTCTTCGGTATTTTCTGGTTAAAGCTTAATATGTTCGTCACGCTGCAATATCTTCTTGGTTTTGGTATTGTTACATTCCTCACTGGTAATAAGATGCTATCTCAAATAGCACACAGGCACAAATCATTACGTTAATTTATACTCTATTGTGTGAAAATTCTATCGCAGTTGCAGTTTAAAGTGCATAATAAATACAAGACTATTATCGATAAGTTCAAGATGGCCAATCGACTCGTTAACGTGACAAAATCATTGTATTGCATTGTTTTTTCACTTATCAAATGTGTATAAATTATGTAACATGTATATTGTTTATTTTGTTTATTACATGCTTCACTTTACAATGATTTAGATTAAACGATGTTTATATTTTATATCAGCGTTAATGATTAAAGATAGTATTAATAAACTGAAATTATAATTCCACATGTAGGCTTGAACTATAAAATTTAATATTAGCGTTAAATTATTTTTATTGGTATAGTGTTACATTTTATACAAACTAGTAACTTTAAACTTTATCGTGTATAATACCGATAAGAGTAAGTAAACTAAAAAATGCTAAAATCTTGCGTTTGTATCTAGAACAAATACTGTTTCTTTCTAGTCATGTAAAATTTTAAATATAATAAAAAATACCAGCATGATTGTTGATTATCCAACATAATGTAAAATAGGTTACGAATCAGCTTATATTACCTATATTAAAACAAATTGTGGCATAATTCACTTGTTATTGAGGCAATAGTTACTAAATTATTTATACCTTTTTTTATTTTTTTCACTTACTCTTTCTGCATAATGTAAAAACTGATACGTTCGCGCAAGTGTCTCGCCTCAGCTTTCAATTTATCCCTCTTCGATCGCAATTGCATGGTAGTCATTTGCACAATACTAAATTGCCGCCAAAAATTTGTCATATCTTGAAAATCTATAATCTGTCGTAAATTCCTTATGGAAAAAGGCTTTCTTTTAAAAATTCAAGAACTCTATTACATATTCGTGTATATACCTGACGGGACACATTGCAGTCTGATAGGGCGACGATTTGATACGAGAGCATTTGTGAGCTTTCCGTATGATTAACCAACGGAATTATTTTCTCGTTTTGTATTTCATATTTACGACAGATTTGTATCAGTGTGAGCAATCGTTTGCCTTTAATTACAAGAAATTCTAAATGTTTTATCATCTTGTTACATTTGATTGACAATATCTTCAATTGATTCTTATCTTTCGTCTGTTCTAAAATTATTTTACATATCTCAATATGAAATTGTCAAAAACTGTATTTATTGATTATTATTGTCGGAAACTCAATAAGAAATTATAAAAAATTGTATTTATTAATTATTATTGTCAAAAATTATTATTATCAGTAATTATAATATTTCGATTTAATAATCTGAATAGAATATAAAATAAGATGTAACGGTAATATTATTGTTGTATGAAAATTTCTTCCGTGCAACTAAAATTACGAAATATAAATTTTACAAATATCTACTTAAAATCAAATAAAGTTTAAAAGACAATACGCGCACCTGAGAGAAGACGATTTTTAAAAATACTAGAAGCTTTCTGGAAGAAGTCGTATTCCGTCAGAATTTCAGAAATTTTTTTCTTGGCCATAGAATCATATGTCGTTGTTTTATCTTGAAACTTTTGTATATCCTCGAAAAGACTCGTTGTATATAATAATTGTTGTGCTATTACTTGTTGGTCTTTCTCGTCCTTATTTTTAAGCGTCTCGTAAGATTTTCTGCGATCCTTTGTTTCTAGAACGATGTAATATTAATCAATACTAACTTATCTAATTTGCATTTGATAGATGTGCAGTTCTATATTTGCAGTGTGAATTCCATTTAAAAAAAAAGTTATAAAAATTCATTTATTTGATTAAAATTATAATATTTTCTAATGTAGAACTAAATTTTATTTAATATTTTAATTAAAAATATTTAGTATTAAATATATAAACACGCACACACACACATACACACAACATTAAAGATTCATTATATAAAGACAAAATATATTAATACTCCTAAGTAATCGTCATGAACATATAGGTAAGAATATGTGATTTTCAAAATTGTGCATTGTGATTGCGATCTTTCTCAAAAGTAAGTATAATAATATATCGGGTGTCTGGGAAGTACTCGCTATCCGACTTTATCCGACCCTTTTTTACTAACCGGCTAGATAGCCGGATATCATTAGTATTATTTGGCAACATATATTCGATCGAAATTTTATATTGAAAGTTCGCATCCACGTTGGGGAGATAAAGAAAATATTATTGCTATCTATACAGCACAGAATTTGCAGCACTATCGCTGCAAATCTGCAATATTGCTGCAATGTTATAGCAGTGTGTTCAACTTTGTGCTGTAGAGATTGTATTTTTCTCTTTCATTCCTTTTTTTCCCTTTTTTTTAAAATAGATTAGAGAAATTATACCGTATAAAAAATATCTGATATCTGATCGGACAATTACCCTGCTGAATATCCGACCGAATATCATTCTTTTCGGATATCCGATATCTGGTATGCGGCAATTTTATGATCCGATACATCCCTATTTAAAAATTACAATGAATGCGATATATCGCATCGCGATTTTTAATGTGTATAGTCTGGGAGATGACACATTTTTCATCTTTATTTATTACCGTTTTAAAACGTTGGTTTATACATTTACATCTATAACGAATTAAAAGTAAGAATTAATAATATTGAAGAATTTTACAACAATTGCAAAGCTGCTGAACGTAGCCATTAATTCGTATGACATTTACATAGGTGGCAAATGTAAAGGAAACGCAAAGTATAGCAAATCTCCCACGGTACAATTGATGACACATGATTGAAGTCTCATAAAAAATTTTTTGCTTTTTTCCTAATATATTATCGCCTTTATTTCTAGTAATATTTTACATTAAAAAAACCGATCGAAAAAGTAGGTGCCATATTACTTCCGTGCGCCGAATGAGAGGCACTATATTAAGTTAAGTTATAAATTTTTTTTAGCGGAAAAATGATTTGCTATCAGCTAATTTTTGTACACTATTTTCATTACGAAACATGCACAAATCCACATGTCATACCGTTTAGACTTTAGACTATTTTTATTTAATTTTTCTCTTTTATTTTTATTGTAAAAAAAACATACGACTTGACTTTGTATGAGTTTTTCACGGTTACATAAAGTATTCCTTTCTTTTCGTTAGAAGACCATATGAGTAATTTTTAATACTTCTGTTAGAGCATACAATAACAATATTAAAGAATTAAATATTTTGCTTGTAATAACTGTATCACGCGTCTTTTAAAAAAATTCTTAAAAAGAAATAATTAAAAACTAAAGTTTATATGATATATAAAACATAACATTTTTTTTCTTCAAAATGAAATATGAGGAGACATTAAAATTTGTAAAAATGTAATTCATTTATAGAAATACCTCCCCTCAAAAAATAATCCACAATACGCCCATAATGTACGTGTTGAGACAGAACAACAATATAAGAAATAAATTAAAGATGTTCACTATTATCTACTTTTTTAATTTGGAATTTAAAAAATCTGTACTATCAACATCGATCAAGTTCGGCCATCACTCCAGTATTTCTTGAAGGCTCCTAAGTTGTCTCCTCTGCAGTCATACTGAATCGTAATGTTATGACTAAATAATCAAATTAATTTTTGTTATATTGTAAATAAAGACAATTTATAAAACGAAATGATGAGATCGCTTTAAAATACCCTCTAATAATCTGCAATAGTGTGAAAGGCACATGAAATAGTCATAAATGACCATAAAAGGCACATGAATCATAAATGTTCCCCTACCATTTTGATAATCCGATAGAATTCGTCGAAGATTTTCCCAGGATTTTTGCAACTGATTTTCAAGTTGTGTCACAGAAATTCTGCGTATATCCTTACTGTCTTCCACGAATGCATCAATCTTACCTTCCAAGATACAATTTTATTAGGTGTTGGAATTAATTCGTAGCGTTTTTTAATGAAAGAATGTTATTTATTTCACATGAGCATTAAAAAATACATTAATGAAAGTACTTCCCATCACTTGTAAAACGCTACGAATTAATTCCAACACCTAATAATATCAACCAAAAATTAATTAATTGTATTAAAAATTTATGTTATTTATTATTTTAATAACAATAAATAATAGAAATAATTATTTTAAGAAATAACAGTTTTAGGAACTTCTTTAATTCATAGAATAAGACAGATTCACGAAACACTTAAGCATATATGCTAAGGATGACTCAAAACGGAGCTGAAATGTCTAGAAGTTATTAAATTTTATTTATATATATATATATTTTTTTTTATCAGTGGTTATATTTGTGCAGTACTAGCGCTGATTCCTAACGCCTCGTGAATCTATGTCTTATTTTATATATTTTATTTTATAAAAATATTAAAATGCTATAATTTTTGTTTATGTCCACTTTCAGTAATGAATTTATATCTATTGTTGGTAAATATGTAGATTAGGGGAGTCCTCCCCAATGATCTTAACATTGACATACACACGTTGTCAAGGTCATGACCCCGAGTGACCTTGGAAGTTTTAACCGAAACATTACTCGTTAAAACAAAAAAAGATTTAAAAACTAACATTTCATTTCTGCTATATAAAACCAAAATTTTCTGCTTTAAAAATGACTTTCCACGCGGAGCGACTTTCACCTCACTTCCCCCCTGTCAAGGGAGCGTAAAAAATCCTGCGCATATGTTAGATCGTTATTCAAAATGGACAACATATCGAATTCTAAACTTCTAAATTGAGAATGGACATCTGTATATGTATATAATATAGAATTGCAAGTAAGCGAAATTCTGATAAAATTATACAATTATCGTTAATAACGCTATACTTAAGGCGATGCTTTTAATATTGTTCGAAAATTCTTCTAATTGTTTGTGAACGCCGTGAGTGATTGATTGTAACAAGACTTCATTTTGCTGATAATAAATTTTGCCAACTCCTATGTCCGTTTGAATAAGTATTTCGTCTAAGGTCCTTCGATAACTTCTTTCTTTGTTCTGTATTCTTTCTTTATACGATATCAAAAATCGATCTATAATTTCAGCATTTGCTTTTGTAGTTCTTTGATGTTGTTCTTCGGCTTCGGTCAATTCGTCCATTAAAAAGCTTATTCTAGAAAAAATTAAATAGTCATAAAAGTATTTTAAAAAAATGTATAAATTTATCCTATGGAAAAATATTCAAATTCTCGTCAAGAAATGAGATATTAAAATTAAAATTTTATTTTTTTAAGACTTTGTATATCAGGTTACTACTGGTTAGGATTAATCTATTAATGTTATTCAACTATTTTTGCTTCCAAAAATAGTACAAATAAATTATATAAATAGTACAATAAATTATATAAAATCTTAGTAACTATTTTACAATAGAAGCAATAGACATAGTAAGATAATCTATACTATAGGAAAATCTGTTTAAGAATGAAATATTCTTTAATTGTTATTCAAATCTTATTCGATGGAGATGAAACTCTCTGAATGCACTAAACAAATTTTGTCAATTGGCCAATTTATCGTAACGCACATGACAACCTGTAGTCTTTAATATCGAGAGCTCGATCGAAATTGTGCCACGCAATTTTTACATCTTCGACGATTTGCGGCATTTTGATCCTCGTCATCATCTCTCGCCATAATGTCCGATAACGTTTTGTATTTAAAGTACCGAGCTCGATTTCGCGCATTAAATTTTGTTTCCACATTTTAGCGCGTTTCTCAGCTTCTCTTGGGACATTAGGCCTCCGTTGTACTGATGGCTTTATAACAAGAAACTTGTTTTATAACTTTATTAACGATATTATATGTGCTTTTTTACTTGGAAAAAACTTTAAGGAAATATAAAATTAATGTAAATAAAATTAAAAAATAATTTGAGTCTCTTAAATATTTAAAATCGAATTATTACTTAAAAAAAGGCCTATGTAAGTAACACAGCAGTTATTGTATCGTATGATATTTTAATGTTTAATTTCTATTAGTTTCGCGGTACGTTTATCATATATATTGAATTTACATTTTGAACGATTCGACTTATTTTAAGTCACCTTCAATGATTAATTGATTGAGAAAAAGTAATATATAATATACACTCTCAGGCCCAGTTTCACAACTCACGATTAACCCTTAACCGAGATTCAACTTATTTTATAATTCCAGAATTGGAAAAAAATAATATGAATAAATTGAACCTCTGTTAACGGGCTGCGCACAATAAAAAGAATAGGAAACAACGAAAAGGGAATAAGAATTTCAACTTATCAAAAATTGTATATTCCACGATGCATGATTTCTGATAGATTGAAATTCTTATTCTTTTTAATTAATTATAAGTTATTTCCTATTCTTTTTATTAATTGTGCGCAGTTTCTAAGAGTTAACCATGAATTGTGAAACTGGACCTCAATGAACATATCGAATTCTAAACTTCTAAATTGAGAATGTCTATTTTAATCGTTGTGTGTTGTATGAGCTAGATCTACTACTTCCACAAAGAGTGCTTCGAATCTTCATGCCTTTCTCATGAATCAAAAACTTCATCATATTAACAGTGGTGTCCGTTAGACTTGTATCTTCGTCAAAATTTACAATACAAATGATTTGTATTGTAATTGCATTTATATTTGTATTGTAAATCTTGACGAAGATACAAGTCTAATACTCGTATTCATAGTTAGACCTTATATTTAAGGCTTCCTTAAATTTATCTTTAGATAGTCTACAAATTATTTCATTGGCTGCTAAGCATCTAAAGATAAATTTAAGGAAGCCTTAAGTACAAGATCTGACTATGAATATGGGCATAATAGTTACGCTGTTAAAATGATAAAGCTTTTGAATTTATAATCCATAGAGAAAGGTGTGGAAAGAAAGATTTTTGTAAAAGTGGTAAATCTTATTTGTCACACGATTAAGATAGATATTCTAAACCTAAAAGTGTAGTAAAATTCATTACGTTCACTGAGAGTATATATCATCGTCTTTTCTCAATCAATTATCGTTGAAGATGGTTTAAAATAAGTCAAAACATTCGAAATGTAGATTTAATATATATAATATATAAAGCATGTATCGAAACTGTATAAACTAAATATTAAAATGTCAAATACACTACAATAACTGATGTCGCTCTCATTGGTCTTTTTTAGAGAGCTACTAATTTAATTGTAAAAATTAATATGATATATAAAAATGTTATAATGTACTACTCACCACTGGATACATTTTTAAATCATATTAATGATTGGACAAAGTTGCATCGACGTGAAATGTTTCAGGCTAAATTTCTCTATGCGAAACTCATGTGTTTTTTATGATTTTCTTATTTTGGCTGTGTTTCAAAATTCACTGCCAGCACTGAAAATCTATGGTTTATGACGTTTACGTAGGGTGCCGTCTCATGTATATACATATATATATATATATATATATATATATATATATACATACATACATATGTA